CTGCCCAGAAGTGCTGAGATGATTGGTAATATGCGTCCTCTTGTAGGTTTTTCACACTTGATACTGCCATTCTTAACCCTGGGTTATCCTGTGCCATATTTCACATATACTTTATCCTGGGATAGTATTTATTTCTGGGTTGTCAGGTTGTGAGTTTTCGCACTGTACATTTGTCTTTTTATATGCATATTTATGAGGATAATAACATTGAATGGACAAATACAACACTTCTTTTAATAACTTATGAATTTGAATTGAGTTGGCTACACACCACAGGAAGCTTAATTGTCTGTCTATGGCAACATTTAAGTCTTGACAATATTTGCTTTTCTACTTAAAAATGACAGTTACTGCATAAAAATGTCATTTTCTATGTAGAAAAAAAAATCTGCATCCTGTTAAAAAAATCCAATTCTGGTTGAACCCTGCTATACAACTATTGAACTTTGTTTAGTCTTTATGTGAGGGAAAGAGTTAAAAATGTCAAACAGTGATGGCAAATGTGTTAACTAGAGTGACTATGTGTAAACACAGGCTATGCTAATTTCAGGGTTAACTGCACAAAAGTGGAGTTTCATAATTAGGGTTAAAAACTCTCTTTCAAAAGTATAAAATGTTACTTAACCCATGGTCAAAGCTAGATTAAAAAGCTGTTAACCCAGGGTTAAGTGTTCAGTGAAACGCCCTTTATAGTCTCTGTGCAGCTTTAAATGCAATAGCCACGAACTTCCATCACCTGTGTCATTTTCAGTCACTTCCACCCTCATCTTCTCAGTAGATTCAGCAAACGCTCATTAGAACTGTTACTTTTCATCTTATTTAAATAAACTTTCAGCATTACAACTGTGAGGTGATGCCAGTGCTCTGAGATGTTTAAAGAGTTACAGGAAACAGGCTGTGAGTGGTTACACAGTACAACAAGCTCCCTGTGTATGTGAAAGTAAGATTAAGTCATCTTTTTATTCCATTACTGCGGTAATGCAGCATTAAGCGTGAACGCTCAGCTTGGATGAAAGCGGAGAGCGGAAAAAGGGAATGCATATACATGAAAAATGAAAGTGCTCTGCTTTATAATGTGACTGCAGAGATGTTTAATAAATCAAATATCGCCTTACACATGGGGACCTTACACTCCTACAATAAATTAAGGGACAAAACTAGGTGCCAAGCTATGGTAATTGGCTTCACCATCCATTGTTATATTTTTCCTGTCCAGAGAGTTGTTATTCCAATCATAAAATACAATGACTGCACATAATGATATTGTCAAGAAGGAGAGACGGGAGCCATTTGAATATATTTGAGGAAGATTTAGTTGGTCTGCCTGCCAAGCCATAACACACAGCATTCTTTATAGCTTTATTAAATGCTGTACCTCCAGTTTGCTGTGCTGCTTCCATGGGTGGAGCATCCTAAATACAGAGCAGCTGCTGCATG